AAAAGTGAAAGACTGGAATGGGCAGCAATGTGAGTAAAAAGAATTAAACATGAGGATGGGGGTTGGCTGGGTGGGTGTATATGCATGACAGCAGAAGTCTTATATCCCACATGGTGTCAGGGATTCAGCCAGAGCTGATGGAAATAGCAATGCCATCTCCTTTCCTCGCTCTGGCCCAGTCTACTCAGGGAATTTCTCAGGATTAAGACAAAGGTCTAATGATGTCATGGTAGATCCTGGTATTCCAGGGGTTAGTGAATGTAGCAGCCATGAGAGTGAAGCTCACACCTTTCACTGCACCTGTCTCCCAGCTAACTAATTTGATCCTCATTTTTTTTCCTTTGAAGATCTCAGAAGGGAGTGAGAGGCAGAACTGTTCTGTAGTTAGGCCTAATTCCTAGCATACCAATTTTAGTCTGTTGATTTCTTGCTTATCAAAAATGATTAACACAGTATTTGAGTTACCGGTATATCAACAGGGTTTCTTATTTGGTTTAATTGAGTCTTTTTTGTCTCTGTTTTGTACTCTCTCACCAGTATTTGAGATAGATGATTGAAACATTTGGTTACAATTGGAGTAGGCCTACACTTAATTTCAAATAGCTTGGAGTAACTATATTAAGCCTTGTTCTCTAAATCAGTCACACATTAGAGTGGGGCTATAAAATAATATTGCCCAGTACTTTCATAATTTATAGAATTCACTCTGGGGAAAAAAGTATGTCAGACACTTTCATTTTCAAAACAGCAAATAATGTCAACAGCAGCAGGTAACAATGTCACTGGTTTTATTTTTTTAAATATTGTACATACTGTAAACATTACTTTGTCTGCTTTCATCTGAGTCCTAGGAAGGGCTGAACTGAGGAAAGCATTTTCTTCCCTTGATTGAAAGCCAGTAGCCTTTAAAAAAATAGCTTGTCTTTTTTAGTCAGAAAGCACCTGAGACTTTTGCAACCCAACTTGCCTCTTTCCTTTCAGTGGCTTCCTTCCTCACCTGCAGGTAGCGTTTTCCCCTTCGGGGTTAGGTGTTTGAGTGGATTGGTCTCCTGTTGTACCTACTTCCTCCTGTACTATAACATGAAGAACTCAAATGGGGACAAGAAGGAAACAAAGAAAACCAGATGTGGCAGGAAGCTTTTAATCTCAACTAAACCCAATTTAAAAGGATCTTATTAAAATGTGAGTAAAGCCTCCTACCTTTGATGGGTGGCAAATTTTCCTGTTGGGAAACAGGAATTTAACTGATGCCCTAAGCTAAGACACTTCCCAGTATATGGAAACAATCATAGTATTACTGTTCACAGCACCTGCACCTGTTTCCCTTCTGTTGCCCAGCAATGGCACCCACTGAAGGCTTCCAGCTCTTTATACAGCTAGGTTTTCTGAATGTATAGAAAATGTATGTGAGGTGTTTAAAGAGACTGCATCAAAATGTAGCAACATAGTCATTTCAGCTGTAGCTTCCTGAGATTGGACTATATGGTTGGTTAGTGTCATAGAAGGCCCCCATGGACACTAGTTCAAAGTTTCAGTCAACTCAAGTACATAGAGATGCAGCTCAGTGGAGGGGCTGGGAATGGCTGATGGAGTATTTTCAGTACGCAGTACTGCAGTAACTTGCAGGTATAGTGCATCATACTGACCCACTTGTCTTATCTCCGACTAATCACAAAACTTCTATCTAAAGCCAAGGCCAGGAGGCGGTTCTATTAGATTTTATTCCTAAACTTGTTCATTTTAAGATGGTTGTGATAACTATTTTTTTCTCCATTGTGGACAACTTATTAATGAGACTCCTCCACACTAGACTTTGGAGTGCATTGCTTCACAAGGGGGTGTTAGGGAGATGCAGACTTGGAAACAGCCACAGGCAATTTCTAGTAAATTGATGCCTCAACAATGTAACTTACCTACCAAAGCAGCAACATGCTATGCAAATCAAATAGTAGTCAAGGAAATAATGTTTACAAGCTGCTGAGACACACCTAGTGTCATTTAATATGCTAAAATTAATGTTCAGTGGGTTTATAGAAACAGCACACAAAGTATTCATTTTGAAACATTTATTTTTCCACTTGAGTATTAACTATAGGTCATGTTGACAAGAATTTCTAAAAAAATAACTATGTAACATTTACTTGGGTACATGATTGTGATAAAAAGTTTAAAATGTTTTAATCATTCATATTTGTAGAAATAGGCAACTTAGATAAGTCACTTATTAGTAACAAGGGATTTCTATTACAGTGATGAGAGCAATATCCCTTTTGGCCCAAACTAATTTTTTTAAATATATTTTGACCAAGTCTAGCCAGCAGCCAATTATTTCAAATGAGAGAGAAGGAATGCTCACTAGACATGTCAGTATTACTGTAATTCTACTAGTAACCTGAGACAGACTACTTTTAGTATTACCTAAATAAAGTTCAGCTGGCTTTTAGATCAGTCTCCCCCATCACACAAAGAGGAATTAATCTTTTAAGTGTAATTGTTTGAAAGACCTCATATCCTTCTGTTAGTGTGTGAAGTTTTAAATTTATTATTCTTGCAAGACTCACTTAATTCTTCTTACAAATTCTGATTAGATATTGGGAGCACAATAAATAACATTTGTCAATACTTTAAAGCTTGAATTTTTAAGCCTCGGATTTTATTAGACACATTTAATGATCAGTACAAGTGATTTTTCCCTGTAGCAATTTAGTAAAGTCAATTTGATGAAGCTTGAAAAGCTATTTGGACCATAATTGCTCTTCAATTTATTGAGCAAAAATTTACAGAGCGGTTTAGAAATCTAAGGGCAGTTTTTGGTATTATCATTGAAATCCAATACACACATAACATTGTGTAGTTGTAAGCTTGAGTACCCACAAGCAGGTTCACCAGTGCAAATTATGAATTCTCATATTATTAACTAAACTGTCAGACATATGAATTAACATGTTCAAAGTGCATGTTCACTGAGCATTATGCACTGTATTCAGGCACAAGCTCTGAGCAATACAATGTGTTTAACTGCTCAATTCCCTTTACTATCAAGATACAATCTTTTGAAGTGACAAAAAACACTATAGTATATTATAAACTATAATCTAATCACTAATTACAAAGAGGAGAAAAAAAAAGTTTAATTGTAATAAAACAAAACCAGAAAATAAGCTTGAAAATATAGTGATGCACATTTTGACTGAAAGGATAAGCTTTGCCTTTAGGAAACAATGATCAGAAAGCTCTGAAGCTGTAAATTCTATAATTTTTAAACGTTAACTTAGATTAACCAAAACAAAATTTTAAATGACTGAACTTGCAACTCAGAGCTTTGTTATTTCCAGAGGAAAGTGAATCATATCCATCCTACTTCGTATCAAATAGTATCCCTTGCTGAAAAGTATCGTTAAAAAGGCAAACCTCACTGTACAAAGCACGCCATTCATTGAATGGATACAATGAAATAGTAACAGATGCTTCTAAAATTGTTCCTATAGTATACAGATTAGTTTACTAACCACTCACTCAGCTAACGCATAACTAATTACTGAAGATTTACTTTAATGGCAGCATCATCAATTGATAGCAGCACAACTAGTTGTGGTAGAGTCCACAACTGTAATATACAATTGGAATGTAGTTAGCCTGGTTTTTAATGTACTTGAAGAACAGCACTTCATTTAAGATGGGAATAGTTGTTCATGATACAGGATATAAAAATACCCACAGCTGCAGGTTTTTAACAGAGGACCACATCTTTTTCTATATCATCATCTGACATACATACAAGGCTGGTAACAAAATGCCATCAGTGTATGTCTTAGTTTCCAAGAGTAAACAATGTGCCTCTCCAATATATTTTAAATTGAGAATGCACATGAATGTGTTTTTTCTTTTTTAGTAAAATTATACTAAAAACTAATCATATGGGGCTGTATGAATGCTGACAATTTAAGTATCTGTTATTCATCCAAAAATTAGAAACTACATCTGGGGAGTTAAGCAAGTACCCAAGGAACTCTGCAATTTGCTCATCTGCTGATGCAAATCTGCATACTAAAATACTTTTAATTGTCCATTAGCCCAGTAAACAATCATTCCATTGTCAGTTTGTTGCATTCTGCATCTCTACCTTCCATATTGAAAACTGACTGTCCACAAAGTTAAAAAAAAAACATAAAAAGAGCCACTTTAGAGACTGGAAGGAAAATAACCACACTATTTACTACCTGACTGCAACCAGTTACACATATGCTTAACTTTAAGCATGCAAGTAATCTCGTTGCAATTAAATTTAAACTTCCCTCATATTTGGTGACAAGTTTCAACCTAGTATAGAAGCATTTGTCGAAGTTTTCAATCCTGAAAAAGTAGTTTCTACTGACAGAACTTAATTGTAGAAGTACAGCAATTACATGTAATCAAGGCTCTTATTCTCCAGTACTTTGTACAAAGTTAAATAAGGCAAAATACAAGTTATAGACAGTCATGCTTTAAAAAAAATGTAAAGCTGGCAGGCTACCAGCCTAATATACAAATTTCAACATTAAAAAAAGCTTGACAAAATTCTGCACAAATATACACTCTACTTAAATCCTGAAATGTTTAGATGTTACATTATATATGAGATTGATTCTCTCTCTTACCAAATCCTGCTGTTTTACTCAAGAAATTGTCAAGATAAATTTTGGCCCCATTTATACAATCCATACAATGATTAAATGCACTTTTAAAAAATAAAGGCCTTTATCCAACAAAGAATGTAAGAAACACTGCAGTAAGTACCTCTCTTTTTTGTTAAAACAGAAGAGGGTATTGAGTGCCTTGATGCCCATCTCATTGCCAGCAATGGGAGAAGCAACAAGAGCTTGTCACAGAAACAAGATACTTCATGGGAAATATATTATATTACCATACAATGAAGCACTGTAAGTATTACCACGCACACAATTTATCCACATGTGAGACTAGTGGACCAAGAGTGCATTTCAGTTTTCATACTCAAGGTCTCAGAAATTAACAAGTTATGTTTATTGTATGAATTAATGAAAAGTAAAACCCTCCTCTAACACATACAAAGTACAAACAAGAGTACAGACTTACTGCATTATATGTTTACTTGACAAGACATTCTCCCATGGGATTGGGAAATAAAATAAGTAGAAAAATGATGAAAAACTAAACTGAAACTATAACTATTAAACTAACATATTAATGTATAATGAAAATCAGTTAATAGGAACTGTGTAGCAATATATACTGAATACTTACAGCTCCAAGTCATGTAATTTGCACTCTAATACATCCATTTTAAAAACTATTACATTTCTGAATATCTTAAAATAATGTTTTTGCATTTGTTGCTGGCAGAGCTTTGTTATAGAAAATTAAAATTATATAACATCATACAAAACCAAAATGGATATTTTTAAAATGCGTGCTGGGTAAATTTTTCAAAAGCACCTTAATGATTTAGAAGCCTAAGTTCTACTGACTTTCAGTTAGACCTAGATGTCTAAATGTCTACATAGCATGGCAATGCATACTGGAGTGGTGTCATTTCCAAAATGCACCAGTGTATTGTACACTAACCAGTGCATGAAAACCTTGCTGGCATGAACTAAAAGTTGTCTACTACATGTCTATGTTAATGTGCACTAGGAAACTTTTAGTTCATGCCAACAGGAATATGAGTGACTGAGATGCAACATGGAGTGCTTTAGAAATCATACCCCTCTAATGTGCATTATTGTGCCCTACAGACAAGCTCTAAGTCACATCTGAAAACTGATCTGATATGCTGCTGATTAAAAAAATCTAATTATACAATAACTCTGAATATGAGACAGCATTAAAGAGGGTCTCATTAGTTGAATGTGTGATTTAGTCTTCAGCTTAATTTATTGGATCTGCCAGAATACAACTAACACCTATTTCTCTATAGAACTTATGACATTTTGTTGCTGACACCTCACTCTGCAAATCCAGCATACTTTTTTCTAGTTCATGCTATATTAGATGTGAACAATATATTTTTGGACAGAAATACAATTAAAATGTTATGTGTTTCTTTTAAGTGACTGATAGTATTAGAAAAAAATATACCTATTTACCCTTTATGACCAACACAAAGTTTGCAAAAATATCTGTAGTGCAAGATAAAAAGGAAAAAATGTTTTTGGCACACCTCTTCTCAAATTTAAGATTAAGGCCCAAAGTATAGTGAGTTAATTAATATGAACAGAATTCTTTCGGAAAGCCTAATTTGAAATGCAAAATTTTAAAAAGTGAAAATAATTTTAAGGGTACTATTTTAATCAGATACTGTATTCTCTTGTATGGCCTAAATGTACCAAATATATATATGCACAGCTTACTTAACATTCATATAATATACAAACATATTGCACCAATAAAATTGCCAGAATATGTATTAGTGTAATCTGACAATTGTGATGTCTGTCTTTTCCTGCTCATTACACTTTTCAGATTCCTGGTTAAGTAGCATTCTTCTATCAAATTTGCTGGTAAATTTAATCGGAAGGTAGCTACTTCACTATGAGTCATATTATAACGTATTGATAATACTTGTAAGCACTGTGCTTACATTTTTAATATGCTTAGCTCAATAATTCAGCCCAACCTATTAACAGCTTTGTACATCATTCCTTCAAACAGGAAAAGCTCATCCAATTAAAAAAAAAACGCACAAGGGCAACAATGTTTTTTTTTTTTTGCCACCAGGGGTCTCACTCTACATACAAAATAAACATTGCAACGGCAATATTATTTAAATCCACCATCTATTAAGGATCCTGTAGGTGCAAGGTTTGCTAGAGCATGGTAAAATACAGCTGGCTGTATTCCTTATTTAATTGCACAACTTGATCCAGATAACTGTCATTCTTTTTCCTTCCAAGAGTGGTTCTATGGTATGTTGCAACTGCTAAAAGGACTTCTGTTTTTCTTGGTCCTCTGTTTGTTTGGTCTAAGATTGATGACTTCTCCACCATTAAGTGTGCTAGAATTGTGGCCTGAATGACTTCCACCAGCTGTATTAAAAACACCTACATAATTTAAAGGAAAAAAAAGTTATTTCTGTGTATCTTTTCATACCTTTTATATACTGACTCTTAAGATAAAGAATTTACTAATGCATAATAATACATCTCAACCACAAACTCTTTAATTCCTAAGCAATTTATTCATTCTTGTGGTCACTTGCAGCTAGAGTTCAATAAGCTATGTTTCTGAACTAGAGCCAGCTGGAGTTAAATACATGCCACTGTGAGGTTTAAAACAAGCACTATATGTATGCTTAATGAACTAGACAGTAGCATACTTACTCAGATGCTAATCCCATGGCAACAAAGTTATGCTAAGTTGAGTAATAGAATAAACAAACATGACAGGGCTTTTAAATTAGTAACTTTGTTGGGATAAAGGAGAGGAAAAGGGTAATATAAAAGAAGACTGCTTTAAGGAGAAAAAAAATCAGTCGACTAAAAAATGCTTTAAAGAACTAAAGTTCAAGGTTTCCTTACAAAAGGCAAAGTTTACAAAACTCCTTTCATTAAATGCCAGATCTCTTGACAGTGAGTCTCTTGTATATCTGTTTCAGCATGACTAGCACTAATACTAATTATATAAAAAGGTAAGTGACAGGAAAACATCCATTCTCAAGTTCTTTACAATTTTTTTTCCCAAGAATTGAATAAAAAGAGTTGTTGCCAAACACTAGCCAACAATGTTGATATATTAGTTTGACTAGTTCACAAAATGATAATAGACAACACAGGAAGGCAGAAAAAAAGGAGTCAATTAGGAGTCTGCATCAACTCCCACGGACTCCAATGGTTGAGGTACTTAGGTAATTAATCACAGAATACTAGAACTAGAAGGAACCTTGAGAGGTCAAGTCCAGTCCCCTGCCCTCTAGGCAGGACCAAGCACTGTCTAAACCATCCCTGATTGATGTCTATTAACCTGCTCTTAAATATCCCCAGAGATGGAGATTCCACAACCTCCCTAGGTAATTTAGTCCAGTGTTTAACCACCCGGACACTTAGGAAGTTTTCCTAATGTCCAACCTAAAACTCTCATGCTGCAATTTAAGCCCAAATGCTTCTTGTCCTATCGTCAGAGGCCAAGGAGAATAATTTTTCTCCCTCCTCCTTGAAAGACCCTTTTAGATACCTGAAAACCACTATCATGTTCCTTCTCAGTCTTCTCCTTTCCAAGCTAAACAAGCCCAGTTCTTTCAGTCTTCCTTCATAGGTCATGTTCTCTAGACCTTTAATCCTTCTTATTGCTCTTTTCTGGATCTTCTCCAATTTCTCCACATCTTTCTTGAAATGCGGTGTCCAGAACTGGACACAATACTCCAATTAAGGGCTAATCAGCGCAGAATGACCTCTCATGTCTTGCTCACAACACTCCTGTTAATGCATCCCAGAATCATGTTTGCTTTTTTTTGCAAGTGTCACACTGTTGACTCATATTTAGCTTGTGGTCAACTATGACCCCTAGATCCCTTTCTGCAGTACTCCTTCCTAGACAGTCACTTCCCATTCTGTATGTGTAAAACAGATTGGTTCCTTCCTAAGTGTAGTACAGTAAACTTCCGATAATATGGCACCTTTAGGACCCAGGGGGTGCCAGATTATCAAATATGCCCGACTATCGCAAGGGGGGGCTATGAGGAGTCTGGGGTGGGATGGGAGGGATGCTACCCCAGACCCCTCATAGCCCCCCCTTCCGCTAGTCCGGCTCTGCCCCAGGTGTCCCCGATTCAGCTGCTGGTCAGTTTCAGCAGTGGCTGAATTGGGGATGCCTGGGACAGAGCAGCTGGGGTGTTGCCGGGTTGGTCCTGCAGCGCCGAGGGGCGGGCGCTACGGGACCAACCCTGCAGCACCCCAGCTGCTCTGCCCCAGGCGTCCATGATTCAGCCACTGCTAAAACTCACCAGCGGCTGACCAGATGCGCCCCTGGTGTATCCTTTTTCCACCATGCTCTGTGTGATCTTGACATAGATATCAGCATTTTTTTTTTTTTGACACTTTGTAGTTCTACCTGAATTGATTCCTCTTCCCACACAGCAATGAGGTCCAGGATCTCCTGCACACTCCATCCTACAGCTCATTTGTGATCCTGGACATTCCTGGTCAGATGTGCTGCTGAGGTGTGCTGCCTACACTGAGGTCTGCTCGCCATGCTGGCTGCACTGGAAATGAAATTCAAATTTTCCCAGAGCTTTTTCTGTGTACCTGAAGAGCAGCAGAATTGAAAGTCCTGGCCAGAACAGACACATTGGGGCAGTATGGGATACCTCCTGGAGGCCAAGAACATGGACTTTAGTACTCTACACAGGTTGTCCATGTCATTTTGAATTATGACCCTATCCTCCAAAGCAGTTGCAACCCCTCCCAGCTTGGTATCATCTGCAAACTTAATAAGCGTACTTTCTAAGCCAATATCTAAATCGTTGATGAAGATATTGAACAGACCCGGTCTCAAAACAGACCCCTTGCAGAATCCCACTTGTTATTAATGGTTCTCAATCCTGCTGGAAAGGTATAACTACTCTCTGAGTACGGTTATCCAGCCAGTTATGCACCCACCTTATAGTAACCTCATCTAAGTTGTATTTGCCTAGTTTATTGATAAGAATATCATGCGAGAGCGTATCAAATGCCTTATTAAAGTCTAGGCATTTGTAAGAACAGTAGGCTTTGCCAGCAGAAAACTGTCTTGCTGCAGTTTATTATGGCATACTTACCAATTTTATTACTGCTTGTATGTACTGCTTCTGGATCTTCAGCTGTTTGTTGTTTGAGCCTTTGAAGATATTTTTCAGCCAAATATTTAAAAACTGAAATATAAAAAAAGTATTTAGAGTGTGAAAATTTAAGATAGGGATTTCCTCATGGACCTCTCTCTAAGGCTTCATCTTGAGAATATATCAGCTCAACTTACTATTATAGATTCATTTAGGAAAGAAAGCTGAATTATAAGCACCTGGTTTGATACTACAGACCCCAGTCCTGCAATGTGTTCTTCCCTTGCAAATTTGTTTTCCAGGATGAACATCTAAGTGAAAATCTAAGTAAAGAAGAGAAATAGGTAATGCCCTTCTAAGTATTGTCTGGGGCTACAAGATATGAGATCAAATAAGTATAAACAGAATGCCCAATAAATGCAAGAACCACTCCAGAAAGGCATTGATTACCAGGCCCAGAAGGAGTAACTTAGGGGTTCAGCAACTCAAAAGGCTCCCGGCCGCCACTGATATCACTGCAGCAGTGGCAGTGCCTGGGGCTCCAGGCCCTTTAAATTCCTGACAGAGCCCCCATGCAACATGTTCCAGGCAGTGTTGAGGGCAAGGTGGCGGGTCATGGTCTGAGTGGCACTGAGGGCTGGCTGCCCTCAGCCCCGCCCCTTACGTCCGAGGCATTTCCCCTTCCAGGAGCATGGAGGTGCCCTGCCTATGGGCCAGCGTGGCTGTCAGCTCCCCTGTATATTACTATTATGAAACTGAAGTTATGCATAAAAATAGCAGTATGATATAAGTTGGTATGACATTACTGACAGACAGCTGCATCCAATGCTTAAAGTTTTATAGTAATTATGTTCAACTGTACACTGTTAAATAATTTGGAATTCATAAGTGCTTAATCCTTATCAGTAAAATTTTCGAAGAGCCTAATTCACATTGAAAGCCAATAGGATTTAGATACCTATATTACTTACGCACTTTTGAAAATTTTACTTTTACCCTTTGTGTGGAAGAAAAACAGAAGAGAAATACTAGTAAAGAAAATGTTACATAACTACAGAAAGTGACAAATATAACATTTATCCACTATTACGACTACAATGTAGTGCCAGGACATAAGTGGCCAAAAACATTAGAAAGCCAGTAGGTTACTTTCCAGGATACATAGATGTGAAATGCTACATGACAGAGGACAGGACAGAATTTTATATTTGCCCTATCTCTTACCTTCAGTTACATTTAGGTCCTCTTTCACTGATGCTCGGTAAAATCTTAACTTTAACTTTTTTGCCAGGGCTTCTGCCTCTTCACTGTGCAACAGAAACAAACTTGTAAATACTGATTTGTATATTATGCCATTCTTTGTCAATATTGTAGACAAAATTCTTTTGAATTAATTTAGTCAGAAGATCATCTGAGCAGGTAGGTGCTCTCTAATGACTTTATAACCTGTCCAATTTCACAATGAAATGTTTGCCAGAGCATTCCTTTTCAATTAAGAGTAGATATTTCCATGTCTGATTATGTTTTAAAAAAAACCTCCCTGGAGATAGCCAGATGGGTGTTATGATAGCCAAAGAGAAGGAGATTGTAACTAATCATGACAGCAGATTAGGAGGGCTTGAATTAAAATGTTAATAGTATGGACAAAGAGACAAAGAAGATCCTAAAGATAGTCTTACTGAAGTGGGGGGGAGGGAGAGAACCAGACTAGAAGGAACCTAAGAGCTGACGTAAATAAACCTGGGGCTAGGGATAGAAGCTTTGCATCTTGCTGCCTCTACATCAGAGGCAGCGAGTAGGGGGAACGCAGGAGTTGGTGCTTAAAAGCAGGTCCCACTGCACCCTTTCTACAGTGCGGGGTGGGAGGCAAGGGTGCAGCGATCCAGGACCTGGCATGAGCTGGAAGTGCTTAGTCCTGGCCCATGCTGGGTTCCAGGCTGCTTGTCTCTGCATTTTAAATGTAGTAAGAGCCACCTGGCTATTACTACACTTAAAATTCAGAGACAAGAACGGACCAGGATCTGGTGCAAGCCGGGATTGCTCAGTCCCGGCTCTCACCGGGTTCTAGACCTACCCCCACTGAAGCTCTGCAGTTTAAATGTAGTAGGAGCTGGGCTGCCTGCATACCTAGGCTCCTCCTATATTTAAACTGCAGCGCCACAGCAGGGCCCCTTATTGACTGACTACATGATTAGTCAATTACCCACGTCTTTACATCCTTAACTTGGGCAAGGTTTCACATGCTGCAATTCAATAAGTTTAGAGAAGAAAGGCAGAAGATAGGGCAATAGCTGGAAAGGGATGAGGGGCTTTTGGTTTGTGTAAGCAAGTGGGAGACCATAGTATGCTTTTATTATGAAGGGAAAACGGAGTGAAATTTTAAGAAGCATAAAAATGGGACAAGGGATGTCATGGAGTTGGAAGAGATAAGGAAGAAGGTTTACAGAAGTAAAAGAGATGAAAAACCTCAGTGCTGGTGACATGGATTAAAGAGGAAGCCACATTTCATCTTATTTTCTTTTTTAAAATCAGTAATGTACTGTGTGGGTGAAAGAAAAGTTGAGGTTTAGGAGGATATCAAAGAGTAAGAACAGGCAGTGAGGACAATCAGTGTAGGAAACAATGAGAGGGAGAAGTAATTTAGCTAGACCAGGAATATAACAGAGCCAAAGGAGGGGAGACAATAGAAGAAGTATTCAGAATTGTCATCCAACTTTCTCCACAGACACCAACAGGAGCAGAGGAAGTGGATGCTGGGGGGAAGGAGTTGTAATTTCTGAGTTTGATTCCATGGTGAGGGACAGAATGGAACATAATGAACTGATAACTCAGTCTATGGAGGAGAGCACAGCAAAGAGGAACCTGACAGTGGCTGAGTTTGTGGATGTTAATGGGCTGTAAATTTCTGAAATATGGTATTTTGAGAAAACATAAGTATATGAAAAAACAATTTAAACAAGATCAAACAAAAGCAAACATACAAAGGTATGTTTTAAAAATCAGTTTAACATAGTTTGGCCACTATGTGCATTTACTAATCAAATTTATAACCTGGTTAGGCTACAACTGAGTTTAACAACTGTTGTAAAATCTCAGCTACAGAAAATGCATATTTTACAGTTCCCAGAGTACAAAATGGAGTAATTTATCATTGTGGCCCAACCTATTTATATGGTTCCTTGCTCATTTTTAAGGTGCTCATAAAACAAAAGAAAAAAACCAAGAAAATAAAGTGAGCATTAAGTTCCCAGTCTGGCAGACATATTTGTGCATGAATAACTTTACTCATCGGAGCAGCACCAATGAGGTTTGTGGAATTATCCGAGTGTGGTTGCAGAATTAAGCCCTAGGTTTGGGAACTTAGAAAACATGCAATTATTAAGTCTTCACCATCAACTCCCACAGATTTTGAAAAATAAGATTGCAACAAATTATCTGATTTCAAAGACAATATGATGAAATACTTACTTCTTTATACAAGAATCATCCAGGAGGTCAATCTTATTCTGTACAAGCACTGTGGGGATGTCTCCCACTTCAGCCACTACTTTCTCTTTCCAGGTGGGGATGGTTTCAAAAGAGTCCCTGTCAGTGGTAGAAAATACAAGGACACAAGCCTGGGCTCCTAAGAACAAAGACAATTATCAATTAAAAGAGAAAAATAAAGACAAACTTATATAAAGTTATTTGGGATATAGTGGTTTTTCATTTTATTTCAGAAGGGCGGCGTTATATTACTGTTTTGTGTCAAAATTATGGTTAGGGAGCCATGAAGTAAGATTAATAGACTGCCAGCTTATTTTGGTTATTAATGTTGTTTTTCAAGATAGCTATGATTGTTCTATTTTTTAAGCTACTCCAGCAGAGAAAGATGGGGAGGGGAACTGAGGTCTACTATCGCTCACTTTTACTAATATGAGAGACTACAAAAATACTACATTAAAGGCCAAATAAATACCTGGATAATATTTAATATCTTTAAAGATACTTCATATTGTAAGTACTGTATGCCATCTATTTTTTAGATTGTATGTGTTACATTTAGGTGAAATAATGCTGAACGAATGTAGTGTTTTGGAGGTTTTTTTGCCTGAAAAGTTTAAAATTTTCAGGGTTCTGTTCTGTTTTATAAACATAAAATCCTATAACAGGAAGGGATCTCAAGAGGTCATTGAGTCCAGTCCCCTGCCCACACGGCAGGACTAAGCTCCGTCTAGATCATCCCTGATAGATGTCTATCCAACCTGTTCTTATATCTCCAGTGACAGAGATTCTACAACCTCCCTAGGCAATTTATTCCAGTGTTTAGCCACCCTGACAGTTAGGAAGTTTTTCCTAATGTCCAACTTAAACCTCCCTTGCTGCAATTTAAGCCCATTGCTTCTTGTCTTATCCCCAGAGGCCAACGAGAACAATTTTTCTCCCTCCTCCTTGTAACACTCTTTTAGATACTTGAAAACTGTTATTGTGGCCCCTCTCAGTCTTCTCCGAATGAATGAATAATTTTCCCAAAAATCTTTTAAAAAGTTAATTTCTAATTCATGCACATTTGCCTCATGATTTTACAACATTTATACACAGTGACAACTCTTTTGCTATTGTGATGGCAGTGCCAATGGATTATCGATGGGCTAGTAAATACATTACTTATAAGGTGGCTGACAATCATTGCTGAAAATTTGAGTCAATGGTCTTTTGATTATCCAGTTGCCCAAAGTCATGAGCAAGCAAACCACTTCCAGTAGCACTTGAACACATAGGGAAAATTTATTATTTATATTGCTTTCAAAACTTCTGTTAAGTAATTACTATAATAATACTGGATACTTAATGCCCCCATAAATTATCACACTTGAACCTCTTTAATCTGGCAACCCTGGGAAACAGGATATGCTGGATTAAACAATGTGCCAGGATGCTGTGGGATCTGCGGCGTTTTACCTAGCACCCCACTCCCAGTGGCTCCTCTCTCCCCACCACTCTCAGGCACAATAGGAGTGGCGGGGAAAAGCCTGAGGGGAAGCACATCCTTGCATTGCTGTTCCCCCTGGAGAGGGGGGTAGGGGTGGTGGAGAGAAAGCAGCAGCGTGCAGAACTGCTTCCTCCTGTGTCCATACCACTAGTTTTCCTAGATTAGGGACTCCCCGAGTATGGAGGTTCATGTGTATTTTTGTGAGTCTTACTTGGCCTCAAAGGTGTCTTTGCCATGAGATACTCAATGGACATTGTGGAAAAATATTTCCTTTAATCAATGTGAATTTTCCAAGTTTCAGTTTAATTGAAAATCCCTTTGTTGTTGTATGAGAGGAAGTAGAAGTTCTCCATCTAGTTTTTCTAAACCATTCGTTATCGTGCATACTTTTCTCAGGTCCCCCTCTTATTCATTTTCTCACTATGGTGAACGCATCCAAATTTTTCAATCTAATTACCTGATGATTTTTCCATGGTCAATAACCCTCTATTTCTGCTATATCTTTTTTCCTATGGAGTGACAAAAACTGTACACGGTATACGAGGTAAGGCCATACCATTAAGATACATAATGGCACTGTATTATTTCCCATGTTATTCCCTATCCTATTCCTTATGCTTACAACATCGTTTGCTTTTTTGATAGCTACCTATTGTGTAGCACTCTTCATTGAGGTGTCCACAGTAATGTCCAGGTCTTTTTCCTATGCTGATACAAATCATTTAGACTCAGAAAAGTGTATGTACAGATCAAATTATTCCTTCGATGCGCATTACTTTGTATTTGTCAACAATGAATTGAATTTGCCCTTCTTACCCATTCACTTATTTCTAAGCTTCAGAGACCCTTAAAGCTACTACAGGGCAGGCACCTCCTTATGCACAGTTTTACACAGTTACTGTGGTTAAACATGTATTTTAAGGTATCCCACATTCAGATCAGACTCTCAAGAGACCCCCTATTCCATTTCCTTCTGAATGCTACAGCACAGAGGTAACTTGCAGCAACAGGTTTTTTAGAGGAGAATATGTGCAGGGAAAGATCCTAAAATAATGTGATTTTTTTCTTTAAGTTAGCTTAAGAATTATTGCTCAAAGTTTAATTTGGCATCAGGGTTTACTGAAAACTGCTAAAGGCTAGACCTAGTCCTTACTCTGACAATCTCCTATCAATGTCAAAAAGAGTTGGCAAGAATAAAAACTAAGTACAGATCCTTAGGATTTTTCTGTAAGGTATGCAATATGTGTTACATGATCCTAAGAAAGAAGAGAGTACAGAGCTGATCACCAAATGAAAATTACAATAAAGGTAGATTTAGATTAATTTACTCTTCACTCACACCTTACAAGGCAGATCATCATCCATTTTGATGCACCTTAATTAGATGGAAAGCTATCATATGACATTGATATCAGCAGCCACGTAGCAGCACAGCGCAGAAAGATAGCTACTGAATCAAACAAGTGTCTATACCAATGACTTTCAATTTTTTCCTTAGTGAGATGGTTCACCAGCATTTTTGGAAGTCCACTTTAGAAGCCATACATTTAGAATGACTTATTTTTAAAGAGTGGAATGTAGGAGCAAGCTATATTATTTCTACTTTCCCATTTAGTTTTTTTTTTAAATCTCTGCTAAATGTTGTCAGGTTGGAAGGTCTCTTAATTACATGAATGAAAAAAAGTTCTGACCAAATTTTCTCTCTCCACCCCTCACATTTAACCTACTGGCTAATTATGTACTAGCCTATTTAATTGGCAGCTCTGGGAATTTCACATTAAATGGCACTTAAAGTCAGATATACTGCATCTTGGGGAATACATGTTCAAGAATCTGAAAAAGGATCCCTCCCATTTGAAAAAGAGGAATAGTGTTGATAATTGAACTGGTTTTTGTATTGCTATTCAATATAAAACATCCGTACTACTCAAAAAATAAAATTGGTTAGGTCAACTGCATTGCATTTACTCTCGTTACCTATAAAAATTAAATAAAGACAAAGATGCAAAATATAGGTGGGTTTACCTCTATAATAGGCCTTAGTTATTGCATCAAACTCCTCTTGACCCGCTGTGTCCCACAACATCAGTCTGATATCTTCATCATTAACTCTGAAATAAATGTTTCATCAACCCACTGAATACAGAGACTCAATGCACACATGTATTAAACATTTTTTTTATAGTTAATTTTTTCTCTCTCATTCAAAATGCCATATTTTTTACAACATTGATACTGTTGCGTTTTTGCACTTCATTCTTCAACAGAGAAAAAAAGACAAGTTATATTCTCTCTGTGGCTCACATAGTCTAATGCAATGCTGTTGAGATCAAATTTCCAACAGTACAGAAAGGGTTCAAAGACAAAAATTATGATTTAAAAAAAAATTCATACTGAGTTTTGTAAATCCTGTGTCTTAAAAAGGAAAAAAAAATGCAAAGAAAACCTATGCTACTGGACAGTGCTCCTTGAACATTTGTATTTATTTTTACCTACTAAAGTCATCTGTGAATTTATAGTTTTCTATTACCTTAACATCTTCCCCATCTGTTTATACTATCAACTGTGCAAGAGTCTAAAACAGCCATTTCAAATTATATAACTTTAACAAATATTTCCTTTTATTAAAACAAGAAATGCAAATAAAAACCAGCCTTTCAACATTCACCAACCTTCAAAGAAAAGTCATCAAATGTGTCTGAAAGTTTCAGTTTCCTTGTATATTTTATTTCAAATTAAGTATCTTGTACTTGAGTGGACAATTGAGTGATTCAATTGCTGTACAGATGCTTTCCTTTATCTCTCCGAACAAGATGTAAAAAACAAACAAACCCACCAGCCTTTAGTCTGTGAGACAGTTTGACTTCCAAATCTACATATGCCTGTTAGTCACAACACACTTTAAATAAATAAATAAAATAAATGAAGGCAGAAGTAACATGACATCTGCTGGATACCTACTGAATTTGTCTCTCCAGGAAATCTACTCCAATAGTTTTTTTGTAGTCTTTTGTAAAAATTCCTTTGCAGTATCGCTGAATCATACTGGACTTCCCCACTGCTCCATTTCCTACCACCACCACCTTGATGGCTACTTCCATGTCCTCCTCCAACATCTTTACAGCTGCGAAGCTCTAGTTATTTCAGGAGCATGAATTTTATATCCCAAATCTGTAACTGAAGTAAACATTATGTTAATAAAATACTGTGAGTAGAAAAAGGTCTTGTAGATAGGCAATGGGCTGGACTCTCAATATCTGGTTTCAATTTCCAGCTCTGCCACAGAGTTCTTGTGTGATTTTTGAAAGTCATTGTCTCTGTGCCTCAATTCTCCACCTGTACAACATGGATAAAAATACTACCTTTGTCCATCTTGATCATTTAGATTGAACTGTTAAGGGCAGAGATGGTTGTTTAACTGTGTTTATGCAGGGCCCAGTATAACAGGCTTCTATCTCTGTTTGGGTTTCTAGGCAATACCGTGATATAAATAGCACATAGCAGTACTGACAACTACACAGCGCAATGCTGAAAGCACACAGTTTTTACAAAAGATTATACAAGTTTAGCAATTTCTATTCTAACGTGTACTTTATGTAAACTCTGAAAACAAGTTATGTCACTATGTATCCAAGCTGCTTGTGAAACTGGAGTTACTATGTCTTCAGCAACTTTACAAATCTTTGCTATTTGGCAAACACAACCCAGTCTACGTAAAAAGGCAGAAATATGCATCGAAAATATACCAAAGCAAGTATATGAGTTTTTGTTGTCTTTTGTTTTTACAGTTAGTAACTTAACTGAATTTTGGTATCCTATTGACAGAATTTCTCCTTGGTAGGCTCCAAGCCAACAACCCCCTAAAAGAGTTTACAGAAAAAAAGATCTTTTGGTCTCAGCAGATTGTGTAAATGGAACCATACCTTTCCATTATGCAAATACCTCAATTTTGGTTACTACCTTATTGTAGCAAGTATGGTTATGACCCATATATACATTTTCTGGGAATATCACAAAGAATAGCTAAAATTCCAAGTGAATTGAAAACATATGAAGCTGTCTTGCCATTTTCGCCCATTGCTTATACGCTAAAGACAAATCTCAGGGGGGTAGTCATGTTAGTCTGTAACTTTACAGAGTAAAGTGGCACCTTACAGAGTAAATATATAGTATCATGAGCTTTCATAGGCAAAACCCACTTCTTCAGATGAGATGGTCATGAGTGGAGAAAAGAGGGGAACCCTTAGAATAAGAAGGAAGAGAAGAGGGTCCCCCTTGTTTTTCTCCACTCAAGATCATTTCACCTGACAAAGTGGATTTTGCCCATAAAGCTCACGATACTATATATCTGTTAGTCTCTAAGGTGCCACAGGATTACTTGTCGTCTATACAGAAAGGCATTTATCTGGGAAAACTGTCAACTGCAGAAACAAAAACATGACAGACCAAATAATTCTACTATTAACTTTATAAAGGATGCTTAGGCCGGTCCCAAGCACAACTGTGATCAATCCTACCCCTTTACTATTGCAGCAATACTGGTTTTATGGGAACAGGATGATGCCAGTCCATCACATACATGTTGCCTCCTTAACCCCTCCTTCCTATGCTGTTGTCTCACAGCATTTCCACACTCACTTGCTTTGTTTCCCTTCCCTCGGTAAATCAAGGCATTTAGCCACAAGCCGCTTTCCTTCCCTACTGACTCCAGGGCAAGGCAGCCTCCGCTCAGGCAGCACCCTCGCCCAGTGTGTCCCCGTGGCGTCCACCACCTGTAGTCACCTCCCAGATTGGGGTGACACGAGACCGCAGGGAGGCAGCAACAGCCTCCGCTCAAAAGTAACCCAGCCGTGCGCGCCCCTCTGCATCTTCCTATCCCATCCCCGACACCGCATATTAGAGCGTCACCCCGGTACCTCACCCCGCTCACTAAACCCAGCACACTGCTCCCTAAACCCAGCGCCCCGGCCACTCCCCGAAACCCAGCACACTGCTCCCTAACCCCAGCACCCCGGCTGCTCCCCTAACCCCGGCACCCCGGCCGCTCCCCGAAACCCAGCACACTGCTCCCTAACCCCAGCACCCCGGCTGCTCCCCTAACCCCGGCACCCCGGCCGCTCCCCGAAACCCAGCACACTGCTCCCTAACCCCAGCACCCCGGCTGCTCCCCTAACCCCGGCACCCCGGCCGCTCCCCGAAACCCAGCACACTGCTCCCTAACCCCAGCACCCCGGCTGCTCCCCTAACCCCGGCACCCCGGCCGCTCCCCGAAACCCAGCACACTGCTCCCTAACCCCAGCACCCCGGCTGCTCCCCTAACCCCGGCACCCCGGCCGCTCCCCGAAACCCAGCACACTGCTCCCTAACCCCAGCACCCCGGCTGCTCCCCTAACCCCGGCACCCCGGCCGCTCCCCGAAACCCAGCACACTGCTCCCTAACCCCAGCACCCCGGCTGCTCCCCTAACCCCGGCACCCCGGCCGCTCCCCGAAACCCAGCACACTGCTCCCTAACCCCAGCACCCCGGCTGCTCCCCTAACCCCGGCACCCCGGCCGCTCCCCGAAACCCAGCACACTGCTCCCTAACCCCAGCACCCCGGCTGCTCCCCTAACCCCGGCACCCCGGCCGCTCCCCGAAACCCAGCACACTGCTCCCTAACCCCAGCACCCCGGCTGCTCCCCTAACCCCGGCACCCCGGCCGCTCCCCGAAACCCAGCACACTGCTCCCTAACCCCAGCACCCCGGCTGCTCCCCTAACCCCGGCACCCCGGCCGCTCCCCGAAACCCAGCACACTGCTCCCTAACCCCAGCACCCCGGCTGCTCCCCTAAACCCAGCACACTGCTCCCTAAACCCAGCACTCCACCCGCTCCCCTAAACCCAACACCCCGCCCCTCTAAGCCCAGCACCCCGCTCCCTGGCACTTTACCCGCTCCCCTAAAGGCAGCGCTCCGTAAACCCCGCATCCCGGTACCCCGCCCTGCTCCCCAGACCCTGC